TTATGGGGAGAAGAGAGGCCCCAGGTGAGAAGAGGGACAAGGAAATGGAAGATATTCTGGAGAGACAGACGCAGAAACGAGGAGCTCCATTCTGGGTGCTTCCATCCTCCCCAGGCCTCTTGGGGCTGTGCCCCTCTTGTTCCAACAGGGGTGTCCAGGAGGGGGCCAGGATTTGGACTCCTGAGGCCCAGTGGAATGCAGGTGAAGCTCTGACTTCCTTCCTGAGGGCATGGGGCCAAGCCAGTCCTCTCTGGATCCTACCTAGCGCCCTGCACCCCACATGGGGCTGGCCCCCATGGCAGCTCCAAGAGGTTTGCCTTGATGGATGGAATGTGCCACCAGGCCACCACTAGGAGGCACTTTTGTTTCATCTGACTAGAGTCAGCTTCTAGCGAGGAGGAAGGGAGAATGGGGCGCTGTTGCACAGCACTGAAGGGGACCCCCCAATGTTGGATGTTGCCCAGGCCTCCGAGCTCATGCCCAGGACCAAGCTTGGGTCCCTCTGCTACTGGGGGCAAGTTTTGCTTAGTGAAATGTTCAGACAGCCTTCTCTGCTCACCAAGCCCGAGCCCACCTCCCAGTGAGGGTGGCGAATCTCCCCTCCCTTTCTTTATTTAATCCAGTGGCCTATTTCCTGGGCCTCAGGTAGCCCTCTGTGGGCTAGAGGTGGGCGGTCTCTTAGAATCTCTGTTTCTGCTGACTCCAGGCCAGAGCATTCTTATCAGTTTCAGAGCTTTGCATATTCATCAGCAAGGAGCTTAGCTGGCTCTAGGACCAGGTCCAGAGTGACAGGGCTGCTGTGGGAACTGAGGCTGGGAGGCCCTGCTCTCCTGACCCCTCCTTCCCTCTGTGTGGTTGTGCAGGCCTGGACTCCAGACTCTCACGGGCGGGGCCACAGTGCGGTCTTACTCACGGTTGCTGTTTCCTCACCTGGAACCCCCAGCAGGCTTTGTTCCCCTGAGTCCTGCTGCCCTTTGCCATCCAGTAGGCCTGCCCCTCCTCCTGGGGACCTTCCCGAAGCCCGGGACTAGGTGGAACCCTCAGTTACATTGGATTCACAGCAATCCTCCCGTCAGTCATTCCCCGTTGTAGGTCTGTAAGCCCTGCGAGGTATGGATTGGGGCCAGGGCCCCATTTAACAAACAAACAAACAAACAAACAGCTTGGTTGAGATAGAGTTCACATGCTATGTAATTTGGTCATTATTTTTTATTTTTATTCTTAAAAAGTTTTACTTCTTTATTTTAGAAAGAGAGCAAGCGTGCCAGCATGGGGTAGGGTGGGGGAGAAACAGAGGGGGAGAGAATCTCAAGCAGATTCCCCGCTGAGGACAGAGCCGGCCTCCGGGCTCCACCCATGACCCTGAGATCATGGCCTGAGCTGCAACCAAGAGTCAGATGCTTAACCAACTGAGCCACTCAGGCACCCATATAATTTGCTCATTTAAAATGTATAGTTCGGGGGCTCCTGGGTGGCTCAGTTGGTTAACCAACTGCCTTTAGCTCAGGTCATGATCCTGTAGTTTCAGGATCGGGTCCCACATTGGGCTTCCTGCTCAGCAGGGAGTCTACTTCTCCCTCTGACCCCCTCCATGCCCTCTCTCTCTCCTCCATTCTCTCTCAAATAAATAAATAAAATCTTTTTTAAAAAAGGTAAAGTAAAATGTACAGTTCGGTGGTTCTTGTATATGCTTGGACATAGGCGACCATCACCATCGTCAAGTTTAGAATATTTTCACCACTTCAAATGGAAACTTTTACTGCCACCCCCCCCCATTCTGTCATCTCCCTCCAGCACTAAGTTACCACTAATTTGCTTTCTGCCTCTAGGGATTTCCCTATTCTGGAATTTCATAGGAATGGAATCATAGAATATGTGACCTTTGTGTCTGGCTTCTCTTACTTATCACCGTGTTCTTAAGGATCACCCATGTGGTACCATGTGTGAGTCCTTCATTCCTTTTCATGACGGAGTAGTAGTCCATCTTGGGGCTCTATGACATTTTGATTATCCACTCATCCACTGAGGGACATTGGGGTGGTTTCCACCTTCTGGCTGTTGTGTATGACGCTGCTCTGAGCATTCACATACAGGTTTTTGTGTGGACGCATGTTTTCATTTCTCCTGGCTGTATACCTAGCAGTGGAACGGCTGGGTCCTATGGCAGCTCTCTGTTTAACGTTTTGAGGAACCGGCAGAATGTTTTTCAAAGTGGCTGCAACGCTTCACACTCCTTACCGTGGGCTCTAGGTCCTGTGTCTGAGTAACTCTGCCTTGACTGGAGCTGTCTTGTTTGTCACTGTCCCTCGCCTCTGAGTGCATGCAAGCACCGGACCCATGCCAGGTGCTTGATAAATACATAGTGAATGAATGAAAAGGTGAATGAATGGCACCCTTTCAGTTTATACTGCCCTCAACTTCCGCCCAGATGCTATCCTTACAACCTTCTCAGTGAACCTCATTCTGACCCCCTTTCCGGGCATAATCATTAGTTGCCTTTTCTGGTTGCTCCCATATTCTCTGCCTCTCATTATCTATGACTCCTCTGGGAGGCCAAAAGTCCCTCTGGGGTTAAGAGAGGGTATTAGTCACCTCTGTATCACCAGTTTCTAATGCAGGGGTTGGCACAGAATAAATGCTCTGCATGGGACTGTGGGGAGAGGGAAGTTGTACCCCAACACACAGGAGCCACAAGGGGGGTTTGTCATGGGGAAGTTTTCTAGGGGATCAGTGAGGCAACAGGAAGGATTTGGGGCAGAACTGCTACTACCAATGCTCATCTCCTGGCCTCGGGGCTCCCTAAGAGGGATGGGGGACTAGAAAGTTCTCCTCCCTGTCTGCACAGCTTTTCCCTGCACCTGGCCTGTCCTGAGACTGGTCCAGGATGGGGAGGCAGAACATGGGGCTTGGAGGCTGCTAAGTACTGACATGATCGGGGCCCCACGGGATTTCTCTGGGATACGTGCAGAAAGGGACCATGTGGTGAGGAGACCCATGTGTATAAGGCCATGGTCTTTAACATGGTGAGTGACTTGCTGTCTATCGGGGTGTGGTATGCAGGTTTTAAATGCAATTTGTATGGATCCACGTTTATTCTACAGGCTGTTTGCAAATCATTCATATGTAGCTTTTCCATGTGGATGATGACCTTCATTTCCACTCCCCAGCCCGCCCAGCTCCCAGCTCCCAAAGGTTGCTCATTGGTTCCCCTCCAGCCTTCTTGTACCCTACGGAGCCGAGTGAATAATCTTGACTCCTGCAGCGTGTGAATGGTCAGTTTATTGGGAACAGACAAGACCAGAGGCTTATGGCAGAGATGGTGGCTCCCTGGGTGGGGTGGGGGGGTTTCTGCAGGAGGTTGCATGAGGGGCCTCTGGGGAGATTGGGTCAGCACCACACATCCTTCCCTGCAACCCCTGAGCCAAAACCTCCCAGTTTGGGGGTAGCCCCACATCACTGTAGCTGGGAAAACATGTTCACATCAGATCCAAAGCAAGAGGACCTAAAAGGAGGGGGAGCAGGACCAGAGCGAGGAGGGGCTGGGGAGGGCTATGTACAGAGGGTGGGGGAGGAGCTTGGTTCCATTGAGCAGGTGATGTCAGCTTGTGACTGTCTCTCCATCCAGGAAGTATTCCAAGTCCCTTTGCCTTTGTTTTGGTGTTTCCCCGTCAATGGGGCTCAGGAAAAAAGATGTATTTTCATAGTGTGAGCTCAGCACTCAAGCTGGTGAATTACTTCCCATAGACTCCCTCTGGATTCTGCGTGCCAATCAAGAGGACCTTTAACAGATCTCAAGTGATTCTGAAATGCTGGCCCTTGGCTTTGGAAATCAGAAAAGTATTTTGGGGTACCTCTTTTTGATCATTGCAATAGTGCATGTGTTAGCCGGATGTTAAAAGAAGTTCATTTTTCTTAGGTGCTTTGAGAGCCAGACGTAAGGGAGGTGGGGAACTTCAGGGGTTGAGAGTGGGATCCTGGCTTTGTGGGAAAACTTTCAGGGGATAATCCACAGAGTGGAACTTTGATGTGTTCCCCACCGAGGGCCTAGCTCGGGGTCCGCACACGGCTAAGTGAAAGGTGACCCATGGAGAGGCCTGAGGGGCGCCTCTCAGCAAAAAACCTGAGGGAAAGCTTTGGTCAATACAGGAAATTGGGGTTTGGGAATATCCTTGTCTTCAGCTCTGGTCGGGGGACAACATCTAGGCTGGGGGTGGAGGGGTGCTGGCACCCTGTCCCTGGGCTTCCCGCCTCGGGGACCGGACTGTGCTAACACTTGTGGGAGGAGCTGCTCCCGGCCCCTAGCTTCATGCAGGAACTCCGCGTGCTCACACAGCTCAGCAGCCCCTGGGGCTCGCAGGGGACGTAGACCTCACCAGTGCCCACGACGCTGCAGGCCCCGCTGGTCTTGAGGACACTGGTGCCCCCCGGGCAGTACTCGGTCCTCAGCACGGGGGTGCTGACCACACAGGGCTCGTAGAGGACCGCGCCTTTGGAGCTGCTCACAGCTGTGGGAACAGGGAGTGAGGCTCAGGGTCCCTTACTGTGTGGCTAGAAGGGCATGGCCCTCAAACCTCTCAGCCAGACCGTGTCCCCACCTGCTGCCACTCACCGACAAGCTACCCCCATTCCAGCCACCCGCTTCCCACACTAGCCACAAAAAGTGCTTAGAAGCTCTCCTCTTTCCCCACAGCCTTGGTTTCTGCTTCATGCCCTCAGTTTTTACTTGTCTGAACCTGCTTTGAAACTGCTTTCTCCAGAAAGGCAGTCTCTTGTCATGAGAGTTCCCCGCAGCTTCCGGGGCCCCACAGCCCTGAGGCCCTGTTGCTTCTCTGCTCCTCACATAATTCTGACTTCCCCTCCATCTGACCAGGAGCTCCTGGCAGACAAAGCTCCTTCTTGGGGTGGGGGAAACATGCGGAAGTCTGGGCCAGGGTGCTGTGGTCTTGTCCTTGTCGGGTGGATCAGCCCCCACGACCCCAGAACCCCAGGGGAGTACACAACTACTCACAGATATTCACAGGCCCGATGCCTTCGCACAACCTGGAGGAAGAGGAAAGAAGACACAGGGTAACTGCATCAGAGAGAACAAGCCCGATAAACACAGGGCACCCCTCCTCCTGCCCAGGCCGCAGCCCCCACTGCTGTGTTCAGGAGGAGGGCCTGAGGATTCTTGGCTGTTTGGGACTTTCCTTGACTGTGGGATGGGCCATCACAGTGCAGCCTCAGCAGTGACCAGAGGCAACCCAGAGGCAGGTGAACTTACCCTTGGAGCATGGATGGCCCTGACCCACCTGTGTTCCTCGCCCTCCAGCAGCCGCCTGTAGGTGGCGATCTCGATGTCCAGGCCCAGCTTGGAGTTCATCACTTCCTGGTACTCCTTGAGCAGGCAGGCCATGTCCTGCTTGGCCTTCTGCAGGGCCTCCTCCAGCCCTACCAGTTTGCACTTGGCGTCACTGAGGGCTGACTCACCCTGCTGCTCCGCCTGGGTCACCGCAGCCTCCAGCTTGCAGCGCTGGGGGAGAGGGCACAGCAAGGCGTTACTGGAGTCCCCAGGAGTCCCAGGCTGACTCTCAGAAGAGCAGGGAGAACATGGTCATTGTGAGATGATAAAAAATACATATATGGATCTCTGTCCCCAGTTCCTGGAACAGAACTCCCAAATCCTTGTGATTTCACAAGTGATAAAGAGCATTAGGAGCATCCTTTGATTTCATATTTGGTCTTTGACCCTGGGTTCTGACACAGAGTTCCCCGATCCCTTGTGACTCCTGGATGGTAGCAGTGTCTTTTGTTCTAATGAGGTGACTCTGGCTGAGTCTCCAATGGCTTCTGGATGAGGGCTGCTTGCCAGAAGGACCAAGTCATGACTAGAAGCTTAGGGTTTTCAGCCCCACCCCCTATTCCCGAAGAGAGGGGAGGGGCTGGAAATGGACTTAATCATTGATCATGCCCAGGAGAGGAGGTCTCTATAAAATCCCAAAGTCTGGGGTTTGCACGACTTTTAGGTTGGTGAGCACGCAGAGGTGGTGGGACACTCACATGACCAGAGCGCGGCATAGAAGCTCCATGCCCTTCCCGCCTACCCTGCCCTGCGCATCTCTTCCAAATGGGTGTTCATCTGTGTTCTTTATCATTGCCTTTTATAACAAACTGCTAAACAGTAAGTAAGCTGTTTCCTGAGTTCCGTGAGCCATTCTAGTGAATTAATCTTACCTGAAGAGGGGATCACAGGAACCTCCGATGTACAGCTGAGGGGTCACAACCTGGACTTGCGGTCGGCATGTGAAGTAGGGGCAGTGAGGTAGGACCCTTACTCTGTGGGATCTGACCCTCTCTCCAGGTAGATAGTGTCTGAGTTGAGCTGAACCGTGTTCAGGACACCAGCTGGGGTGGTATAATTGCCTGGGTGGGCAGCTTTGTGAGTGTGGGAGGAAGGTGACACTCATGGGAACACATAGGAGGAGGGAGATTTCCTTTACAGTCGTGGGGCCATGCCAGATTCAAAGCTGCTGAACCTTTCAGCCTAGGGTTGTGACATCTGGTTCTTCCTGAGATGTCAGAGCAACTTCTGTCTCTAACAGCTCAAGGAGGTTTGAGCGATTTCTTTGGGGGCTAATAGATTGGAAGCGTCTGGCTGGTCTTCATCAGCCTGGGAGAACAGAGTGGGTCTGCATTTATGGACTCCTGGGAGTCGTCTGGAATTTCAGGATCACAGGACTGGAGTCTTTGGGTCCGAAGGAACCATGTCAACCATGTCAACCATCGTTTCTGTGCCCCCATTGAGGGGAGTACCCTTGCTATTTCATCTGTGACCAAAGGTGACCTAGTGTCTGTCGGGACCTCGCTGTTTCCTTAGGTTGCTCCCGCTGTTGGTCAGCTTTTTTAGAAAGGGTTTGTTCCCTCGTAAACAAGGGGCATAAGTTCATTCCCACTTCCAAGTGCTCCCAGGGAGAATGGACCCACCCCCAGGACCAGTTGTGGGGGAGCCTGTGATGGGGCCTCAGGACCATGGCTTTCTGGCCTCACCTGGGCTTTCACGTTCTCAATTTCTTGCTGAAGCCGCTGAATCAGCTTGTTCATTTCCAGGATCTCGTTCTTGCGGTTGCGGAGGTTGTCACAGTGGTTCCCAGCTGTCAGCCGCAGCTCCTCATACTGCCGGGACCGGGACAGGCAGGTCAGAGCACTGGGCGCAGGCACCTGCACCACGGAGCCTCACCACCCCTGTTCTCACCGTCCAGAGTCTCTCCTCCAGTGGTTTTCTAGCTCAGGGCTCTCTGGGTTCTTAGGCTTGTTCTGCTCTCCATCCCCTTTCCATTTCTTGTCTTTTTCTGGGCTGCTTCTTATTTCCTTCCCCAACCCTGAAACTTCAGGCTTATTAAATGCTCCTCTAAGCTCTCCTTTTCTCTGTTTAGCTGTTCTGTGGCTCATCTTTTTCTCCCAAGCCCAGAGCCCCAGGGTCTCTGGAGGGCTCCTTCCCCTTTGGAGTTCCCTCCAGATCTTAGAAGGGGTTTCCTGTGCTCAGTCTGGGATGCCGGACAGATCTGGGAGTGAGGACAGACCATGTCTACCTCACTAGGGTGAGTACCTTCGTACATTCTCCTTCAAAACAATAGAAAACAATATGCAATGCTGCTTCCTACTTTGACTTAACATTTTTTAAAAAAACCTTTGCTACCTTTGCAGCTCCAAATCCAATTTCTGAATAACGTTTTATCAATTTACATCTATAGATTAAAACAAGTAGCAACTTTAGATTTTCCACATAGAGAAGGCAAAACAAGTGATAAGAAAATCATTCTCTTTGGCTCTTTTGTTGTTTGGCTGTTGTGACAAAGCCTGCAGTTGCCTTAGCAATACACACTCTCCTCGTCTTCCAACAGAACTCTGCTTTTATTTGGGGTGGCAGTGAGCTCAGATAAGAGAATATTTATTGGCCTTTTCATTAATGAGATCTATGGGTAACACTTCCAGGAAAGCTGTTTAAAGTGGGGGATGACCCAGTTGGCATGTTTCTTTTGCCTTGTGTTCTTCCTGCCTGGAATGAACATGTGAGATCAGTGATAAGGCAGCCTTCTTGGGACATGAGGCAACCGTGAGGATTACTGCAATTTTAAGGATAGCAGAACAGAAAGCGAGAAGAAGCCTGTGTCCCTGATGGGAACATAGAACCCCCGTATCATCTGTAGGCAGTCTGTTTCTGTAACCTCTTTGAGGACAGGGATGGTGTGACTCTTAGTACCCTCATGGTGCCACACATTTCAATAAGATCATCCTTCCCTGGCGACCCTATTCAAAACCTCATTCCCACAACACTCCCTGCACTTCATGTTGATTGATTTTCTTCAAAGCACACATCACCATCTAGCGTACCCCAAGCTTACTGATTCAATACCTTGTGTATCGTCCCCCCCTTCCCCACCCTGCTTCTAGAATGAAAGTGACTGGAAGGCGGGGTTTGCTGTCTATTCTGTTTCCTGCTGGAATCCAGCAACTAGAACAGTGTTTGGAGTGTGATGGATGCTCAATAAACAGTCGTTGGATGAATAAATGACTGAGCGAATGAATGCATGGTGCCTTTCGCAGACAGTGCCGGTGAGACAGAGATGATAATATTTGCAAAATCAAATTGCCCTTGGGGGTATCCATCTCTGTCCCAGCAAACCCCTAATTGCCTAAGTCTGGGGCCGCCTTAATGACCGCTCCTGCCCTGCCATTAGTGCCCACTGCACCATTAGCCTCCTTCACGCCTTGAAGCCCAGGGCCCTCTTTGCAGTCATTGGCAATTAGTGCTTCTCGAGCACAGCCTAAAGGAATATTTCCAGTGTCTGTGCGTGGGTAAAGGTGGGAAGCCCCAGCACCCTGATGACAGGCTTGGGCTGTCTGTGGGGTCCCCTCCCACATGCTCTGCAGGGACCTGGCAGAAACAACAGGACCCCAGGGTTTACAAGTTCCCTGTGATTGTGGTGTGACACAGCCCTCGTTATCATCTCACTCAGTCCCTAGGGGAGGCGGGTCTGGGGTCCCAGCCGGGCCCTGCCCAGGTCCTCACCCGGCTCTGGTACCAGGCCTCGGCTTCAGCTTTGCTGCGGCTGGCAATATCGTCATACTGGGCCTTGATCTCAGCAATGATGCCATCCACATCCAGCTCCCGGCTGTTGTCCATCTTCACAATGACGGAGGTCTCAGAGATCTGAGACTGGAGCAGGCAGATCTCCTGGGTGGGGGGCACATGGGAATGCGTGAGCATTTTGAGGACCAAAGTGGAGGAGCAGAGGACGGAAACAGCTCTGACTTTCCCATAGCAGATTTGCATAGTAATTTGCATAGCTGTCCTGAGTCTTCCATCACCAACCTGTTCTTCATCCCCCAACTAGTTACACAGACTCAAGAGCCAAGGTCTGGGCCCTCTGACTTCTGGGAGTCTCACTGCCTGAGAATTTCTTCCCATGCTCACTTTTGAGTCAGCTTGCCCTGGACCATACCCGCCAGTGGAAGCCCTCCCACTCCATCATGCCCACGGAACTGGCCCCTGACCGAGCATCTGTGGGCAGTGGGGCTGTAGGTACCTCCTCATACAGGCCTTTCAGGAAGTCAATCTCCTGGACCAGAGCCTCCGCGTTGGTCTCCAGGTCAGCCTTCATCAGGAAGGCTGTGTCCACATCCTGTGGCCAGAGCAGGGACAACCATAATCTGGGGCCCAGGGAATAGGTGAGGCCACCCTCTCCTCCCATTGGGTCCCCTCCCAGGCAAGCTGGCGGCAGCTGAGGGACCCAGGTGTAGGCTCATGTGGAAGTGAAAAGGTGACAAAGCCAAGGATGGAGGGGAGGGGCCCCAACCCCAGGACCACATGCCTGGGCCTGGCACCCTGATGGGGAAGGATCTGTTGGAGTGGGTTTTGAAGGATCCTTGAGTGCAGGTTCTCAGAGCCCGCTGTGTGGTGCACGGGCCATAGAACACCTTGGTGTTTATCTGAGAAACCATCGCTATTGTTTTCCTCTTTTGTGTCAGAGTCAGAGTTTTTGTTTGGTTTTCAGTTTGGCATTAGCTCTACCTCCAACTTCTCGGGCAGGTGTAGACACAACCCTAACCAGGTCAGGCCCCCATGCGTTGGGAGGTGGAGGCCAGGTCAATCACTGCCCTTCTGTAAGAAGTGGGGGAAGGCTGGCTTTCCTCTTTCCCAGGGTTGGTGAGGTTGGCCCTGGGATCCGACGGGAGAGAGGCCCTGTTTGGGGTGGGTGGGCTGCAGACACGTTTGGACCTGGTCAGTGGCTGAGTGTGATGAGGCCACCTGGGCCAACTCGGGGGGCCTTCTCTCTCCCTGTGCCCTCCCTCACCTTCTTCAAGGCAACAAACTCATTCTCAGCACAGGGCCGAAGGGAGAGCTCCTCTTCATACCTATTGGATGGGCAGGAAGAAATATTTTAGTCTGGCCTGGGGGTTCAGAAGTGGCCCAAGGGAGGGAGCCTGGGGAGCAAACCTGCCTCTCAGTAATTTAATGCCCTAAGGAGTCGCCAGGCCCAGTCCTCATCATCATCGGACACCTGTAGCTCCTCTGACCACTCAGGACAAACGATTGTCATCCTAGCCTCTCATTAGCCACTGTACGTGTTGACCTCCCTCCCCACCCTGAGTAGCCCATTCCTGTGATTATCATCTTCTGGGAAGTCCTTCTCCAGGCCACCTCCTTTCCTTGTTGCTGCTAAGGAAGCCCACGTCATGCAGTTGCTTACTCTGGGAAGGTGGTAAAGAGTTGGCTGCCTTCTCTGAGTTGTTCTCAGTTTTGGCTGCAAACACTGGAACCTTAGCCTGCCCCTTGCCCTCCCCGCCAGGAGAGGTCCGAGCCTGGCCTCTATTTGCCGAGGTAGCAATTACCCACTTCACCAGAGCTGTAGAGACAGCCTGGCCACCCCCAGGCTTCGAGGGAGCTCCCCGCCCACTCCCTGTCCCTCTGGGCAATGGAATCAGGGCCAGGGGGTCCAGTCTGGCGGGTATGACTCAGTCTGATGAGTGCTATTGATCCATTAATAGCCTCACTGCGCTTCCTGACGCCCATCCTTCCTTATTCCAGCAGACCTCGGCCTCAGCATGGGCCCTGGAAGCTGGAGACTTCTGCCTAGGTGGGAATCCCAGCTCGGGCAGGTGCTAGTCTTGTGACTTTGGGGAAGGGTCCGGGGTGGGGGACTTTTCTGTGTCTCAGCTTCATTGTGTACAGAATGAGAATGACACCGGTCCAGCCTCACATAGCTGCAGTGAGCTAACACATGCCACAGGTAGCGTCTGCCAAGCACTGGGCCCCTGGCATGGAGCAGAGGCTTCATAAGTATCGGCTGCTACTATCAAAACAGCATTTAGTCTCATCCTTCTACCCCCACTTGCCCAATCCAAAGTCCTCATCATGAGCTGCAAACCATGTGTCCTGCCCACCTTGTATGTTACCCGCCAAGAAAGGCACTGCTCTGGTCGAGAGGGCTGGCCTAATTACATGTCACCTGTTGTGGTCTGCTGGAGTGGTCCTCTCTGACTTGGCATACTCTGGCCCTTCCTGTCCCCTGCTCCCATCCCTTCCCTTTTCCTGGAATCTACTCTAGAATCCCCTTTTGTAATACCCAACTAGAATGAAACTTCATCATGGTCCTGAGCAAATTACACCTCCTCCAGGAAGCTTTCCTGGGCCCTGTCTGTGCCCTCACTGTCCTGGCATTCCTTTCCGCTTCTGCCCCGTACCCCATCGTAGCTGTTGGCTGGTGTGTGTGGAGGTCTGTGCAGGACCGGGGCATTTGGAGGGCGGGAGCCAGCTCGGCACAGTGTCTGGTATCAGGAAGGCATAGGACTGACTCCTGCAGCATGAGTGACCACCATGTGGCTCTATTCCACTGATGCACATCCCTTAGGGACCTTGGCTCTGAGCCTACTTGTACTGCTGCTTGTCAGTGGAAATGTGTCTCTCTCAACCCTCACCCACCAACATGTGCTCCCATGGGGCCCTGGACCAGAGACACCCACCTAGGACCTGTGAGGCAATGTATCCTGGCCTCAAGCCTCTTATAGGCACTAGACCTAGTAGCCAGCAAGCTCCTAGTTAACATCTGTTTTGGCTCCCTTCTCTTGGGAGGCAGGCTAGGAGCTTCCCTCAGAGAGGGCAAGTCTAGCAGGCTACCTGACCTTAACCACAGGCTCTGGGGACGTAGAGCCCTGCTTGTGGGGAGGGGGATGGCTTCCAGCTGTGGACTCTGAGGTTGAGGTCCGGGAGCTGAGCATCAGGGAGTGAGAGAAAAACTTGGGCCAGGTTAGCTTGGATGCGGTCCCAGGAGGTCCCAAGAGGGGCTTATCAGGAGAAAGGGACAGTGGGAGGAAAAGCACGGAGGGAAGAAGGTTTGGACGCCCGTCTGGGGAATAAGATATGGTTCCGGATCTGAACGGGGATTGCTAGAAGCTATGGCAGACCAGGTGGCCAAGCAGAGCCCTGGAGGGCGGGGAATGGCAGGAGAAAGAGCTAGTATTGCAGGGACATGGACAGGGCCCTCTTGAGGTAGGGCGGCAGGAAGGGAGGTGAAGATCAATACACTATTTCAGAGCTTCTGGCGAGTGCCCGACGGGCAGTGTCCTAGCTGCTCTCTTGTGTTACCCCACCACACTGTTGCTGCTACCTGATCGACGAAGCTGGAGGCATCCCACTGTAGAGATGGGGAAACTGAGGCCCAGGTTGTTGATGGAGCTTGCTCCAGGCTCCCTGGTGGGCTGAAAGTAGGCCACACTCACTTTTTCTTGTAGCTTTCCAGAACGTCCTGGAGGCTGCAGAGCTCGGACTCCAGCCTGGCCCGGTCGCCTGCCACGCAGTCCAGCTGCCGCCGAAGGGCAGAGATGTAGGCCTGGAAGATGGGCTCGATGTTGCTCTGACAGCACCTTTGCTGCTGCATGAAGTTCCACTTGGTCTCCAGCAGCTTGTTCTTCTGCTCCAGGAACCGCACCTGCCATCCAGATCAGGGAGTCACCGAGAGCAGGGAGCCCAGGGACCGTAACAGGTGATGGGCTGGGTGGCCAATGGAATCAGCGTGTGCTCTTAATCCCAACACATTGCTGTCAATGTGCTAAAGTTTTCAGGTAAGTCTCCCTGCGTAGACTGGCCTAGGAGGATTTGTCTCCATGAATCCCCTGCCTGGGGGAGCTTTTATAAGACCCCCACTTACTCCCCTAGGGGTCGCACATTGTCATGGGAGGAGTAGTGTCCCGAGAGGTCTGGGACAGGTCCCCCTCCCAGCCCTGCCTGTCGGCCTCCCACGAGACTTGCAACCTCGGCCAACACATCCTGTCCCTTCAAGCCTCTCGGCTTCCTAAGGTTGGTATTGTGCATGGGAAGCTCTTCAGGATTCTTCATACTAATGCAAGCGGGTGACGTGATGCCTAGGAGTTCAGGCTTTCTCTGGTCCCAGCCCGGGGGCATTCAGGGGAGGTCAGATCAAAAGCGTGGTCCTGAGACTCTAAGCTCTCTCCCCTGACTCTGATGCACCCTGCGAGGCTGTGTCCAAAAAACATCCCCATCATGGGAACATGGAGAGCTTCCGGCTGGCTTTTCCGTTTTGGTGACTTAGGAACCGAGAAGAGGAGAAGCTCAGTGAGCTGATCACGGCCACCCCTCTTAGCCATCGGCAGAGGGAACCAGCATTCCATCCTTGAAAGAAATCTGCAGAGGGAGAAACGTTGCCCTATTTCTGGGCAACGGCCGCATAACCAAGAGGCTCCCAGTCTCACGAAGGTGGTGTGATGTTGCGGAAAGTCAGAGCCCAGAACTTAACGAGCTTTAAAAATAAAACTGTAAGTGGAACAGTTCCCATTTACTGAAATGAGTTTCTTTTTGGAGCCCTTTTACGTATCTTACTTCTTTTGACTCCCCACCACTAAGGCCCCCTTCCCCACCAGGTAGCAAGAGCCCCGAGGCTGAGAAGTGAGACGTTTGCACAGGACCTCAGGGGAGCAGCCAGGACTGGAGCCAACACCAGGGCCCAGGCCTCCTGACTTCTGACTCTGGATTCTTTGCCCTATAGCCAGGGGTCAGCAAAAACACTGGCTCAGCCAAAACACTGGCTCAGCCCCTGATCCCAAGAGCCTCCCTGGGGTGTGGAAACAGATGCAAACGCAGCTGCTTGGGTTCCCAACTGGCCTTTCGAAGGCTGCACACCACCCTTCCCTGTAGCCTTTCGGAGCTGTGGTTTTGGTGACAGCGACTGTGTGCTCCCTGTGCTGACTGCTCTACCTTCTCCTTACACCAGGCCTCCTCTGGGGGCAAATCTGGGGTTGCAGTGCTCATCCCTGCCTCCAGGCCCAATGCTCTCACCCCAGCTCAGGCCCTCAGAAGGCGACTTTGTTGTCAAAGCCTCCTCTGCCTCATTGGTTTTTCTTTTCAGTATCTATCATTGCTTTGGAAGTTCCTCTTATAGTTTGACCTCACACAGCCCTGGTGATTTTCTCAGCTAATATTCAAAGGGAGATGACAAGAGAGTGAAAAAAGAATGAGCAGGAAGAAATGTCTAGCACTAAGCTGGATCTAAGCAGCTTTCTACGATTTGGGGGTGTCATCCACCGCGCCCTCTCAGCTGCCAGCCTCTCCTTGGCCCTGATGCAAAGTGCTCTCTGTGTCTCCCAGCCCCAAGCATGGCTCCTCCCTGTTACCTTGTTGATGAAGGATGCAAAGCGGTTGTTCAGGCACTTAATTTGCTCCTTCTCGTCCCTCTTCACCCTTTGCACAGCTGGGTCGATCTCCAGCTCGAGCGGGACCAGCAGGCTCTCATTGATGGTGACGGGGGCGATGCAGGGCGAGGACCCACAGGGGGCCCCCACTCGGTACCCAAAGCCGGGCAGGCCACATCTGGAGGCCACCCGGGGCCTCCCGAAGCCCACGTTGCACAGGCTCCGGGAGCCCAGGCAGCCCAGGGCGCGGAGGCCCCCCCCACCCCCGGACCGGCACGGCCCCTTGCTCACGGCATAGTGGGTGACCATCCGGGGGAGGACAGCTGAGCAGGAGCTGAAGCTCCGACCACCGCATCGGGAGCCCAGCTGGAAGGAGTGACACGACATGGTGAGAGAGACGCAGAGAGGCGGCTGACGGGGACAGCGGGAAGACCGAGTTATCAAGCCAGCCCAGCTTCTCCACCTTTTATCTCGTTGGGGATGGAGGGCCAGGCAGAGTCAAACCCCAAATCACCATTAACAGGTTTATAAGCTTGGGCTATTGGCAGCTGCTAAGTACCAAGGTGGATAATTAGGGTAGCAAAGAGCAAAGGGTGGGAGCCAATGGGCAGTGCTGCTGTCCTCTTTCCTCGTTTATGGGGGCAATGAAAGCGGCCAGCCAGACAGACGTTTGGCATATTGGGTGGCTCAGCCTCAAGGAAAGGGAGATTTAGGACTTTATGCCATTTTGCGGTGAGGAGAGAGGCATGAATTACACACCCTGGTTGCCCAAGACTAGAGGCCAAATTAATTATGCTTGGGGATGCTCTTTTCCCCCAAAGCTGCTTTTCTGCAGATGTGTCAGATCCAAGGGCCCTCCGTAAGCTCCTAGGTGTTTCTAGAAGCTCCCTGGGAGGGAGGATTTTGAGGTGGGAGAGGCCCCAACAAGCAGGTTGGGACCTGCCCCTCCTCAGGCCAGGTGGGAGCCAGATCTGGCTCAGTACCTCTGGGGCTCCCGACACGGACCCTTGTCTCTGGGGCCCATTTAGCCCAAAAATGCCTGCAGAGGACTCAAGAGGAGGGAGAGGAAGAGATGCTCTCCCCAGGACCCCTTGGTCCCCCAAAGATGCACTGATGATTGCCATTAGGTTGACATTATTGTGTCCTAGCCTTTTGCCTTTTGTCCCCACCCAATCCCCAGCCTCCCCAAGGTAGACAGAGCTTGCTCTAACCTGAGGACATTTCCAGGGACCGTTGTTGCCCTTAGGAATTGCTCAGATGGATGCGGGACACCAGCTTTCTCCCCAGCACCCAGGTCATAGCTCTTTGGAGATGCCTGAAGTGCCTCCACCCCTAATTCTCTTCCCTCTCCCTTTCCATCAGTTCCCTCCATGAGACCTCTGCTGTCGCTGTCTTTCCCTGCCATACTGCTTTTTTCCAGGTCACAATTAAGCCAAAATAATAATAATAATAATAATAGTATTTATTGGGCGTTTACTGAGTGCTGGGACCACCTCAAGCTCTACACCCACGATCTCATTTAATTGCCTGACAGCACCACGATGTAGTTTCTGTTTTATAGATGAGAATGTAAGGAGCAGAGTGATTAAGTAAGTAACCTGAACCACACAGCGCATCCGTGGTAAACTGGGGTTCGGTCCTATTCTTTCTGTTGGCACCATGCTCTGCCGCTCTGGTGGAGAGAAGCCTGGTTGAGAATGTGAGTCTCCCACCAATATGCATTATGTCTTCTCTGTTCCACCTGAAGATTAGGAGCCTGGAGCTCCATAGTTTTGGTCTAACTGTGCTATTTCACTGTCCCCTTCTTCCTAGTCTTGACTTTGGGTCCTAAAATGCTGGGGAGGGAAATTGAGGTTTGGGGAGGTCAGGGGTGTTGCAGAAGGCCAAGGGCAACGGTGGGAGGCAGAGGTGAGGTGGTGTGGGTCTTGTTGCATGATGGCAGGAGAGGGGGATTCCCATTCTGCCCTGGGGTAAGCGTCACAGAAGTTGGCCCAGGAGATGGTGTGAGAGTGGATAGTGACACTACGAAGCCAGACTGGAGAGCAGTCCCCCACCACTCCAAGGCCAGAGCGTGGTGCAGTGACATGTTGGGTCCCCGGGAGCCCGGGACCAGAGCTGGGAATCAGAGAGTAGGGGATTGTTGTCTGGATCTGTTGAGGGCAGAAGGCACCTGCTCCCAGAAAACACTGGTTCCAAGGCTGCTCTCTGAATGTGAGATAAGACACAGACTCTACCAAAACCTAAAGAGCTCAGTGACACTTTATTGAAGCGGTTTCAGGAACTAGGCAGGCATGGGAAGTAGGCAGTTTGGGAAGGTTTGAGATAATCAGAGCAGGGTGACTTTTTTTCTGACTTCATATCTCTCCTGGCTTCATGTCCACAGCTGACAGCCAGGCCCTGCTTGCCTTTGGAATTCATTTTGGTCTTGAGTGCATGGCAGGTGTTTTGAGAGCTCCCAGATCCTCAAGTAGGGAAACCACTCTGTGAAGGCAGGTCTTAGAAAGATCTCTGGGCCTATGCAGCTCCCCTCTTCCACCGCTCCTCTACCTCTGCTTCCTTCACAGGCCAAACAAGCATCCTCTGAGAGCGAGCAAAGATGTCAGAGGGAGGACTGTCTCTCTCCCGAGTCTGCCCTCTTAGGACTTCCCTGTGGGGCATAGGGTTTGGTGGACTACCTTGAGAGTGCAGTTCTAGCCAGGCCTGGGGCACAGGCAGATCCACACCGTAGACATGTCAGAGACAGGGAGATGGAAAAAGAAAGGTCAGGGGAGAGGGAACAGGGGTTATATTGCCAAATGGATGAGTGGGAGGGAAAGAAAAGAGAGAAATAAAGGAGCAGAGGGGAGGGATGAAGAGAGGAGACACAGGGTTGCGGAGGAGGAGCAGAACAAGGAGGGAGGTGGAAAGAGCAAGGTAAGAAGGAAAGAGAACTTTCCAGAGAAGAGATATGGCTACCACAGAGCAAGGAGAAAGGAGCAAGGAGAAAGTCTCCTGAATCCTTCTGTGGGAGGATTCTCCCAGGGCCATTCTAACACAGGCTGACTGGGTTCCTTTTCCCGGTCATCTGCTGCCTGGCTACCTTCCCACACCCGGGTTAGCCTGCCTCCCTCCCACTCAGCAGTAGGGCGGTTCTGCGTGGGATGCTAATTCTAATAGTGGCCTAAATGAGGCAGAATTGAAAGGAATTCGGCTATGAACTATCATGGAGTGTAGCCCCAGGCCATGGAGAACTTTTGCCTTCTTGATAAAAATCATTCTATTCTAGTATGAATAATCGAGTTGGTCATATTTCAAAGGGTATTGATTCCTTATTCCAATATTCTGATGGTGGGAGAGTGGTCGGGGAAGTGGCTGGGGGCCCAGCAAGGGACAAGACGGGACGAAGTGAGGACACAACATCCTGCTTGGATTGGCAGACTTCCCTGGTTGGAGGGGCTTGCAGGAAAGGATCTTGTTTGCGGCGAGAGAGCACATGCGTGGGAACTCTAGTCTATACTACACGCAACCTCTTTGGGGGCACCAAGGTCAATTCTAAGCTCCTTCCTCCCCCATAAAGGACTTTGGACGGCATGGATCTGGCTCTGGTGGGGAGGATGACCCTACGGTGCTCCAGCTCTGGGAGCTGCCGACGGGCAAAGTCCTAGCCCAGGTCTTGGCACAGAGGAGTTGAGTGGGTGTTAGTTGAAGTGGATGCCTGGGGCCCCTGGAGGGCCCTGGGATAAGGAGCAAGGAGGGGGTATCCTTGTGGGGACACGTCTGGAGGCACGGGGATGGACAAGATGATCTTAGAACTCAAAGACCACTCCCCACGCCTCCTGCTGTTGATTCTGTGCATGGGGCATCAGCAAAGCGGCAGGCCTTAGGGTGGGGGATCAGGGGAGTCTGGAGGCGGGAGCCTGGAGGGTGGGGCCCTTTAGCTCCTGTAACTCTTCTTGGTGGACGACGTCTTGGAGATGATGCGCATGCTGGAGCTGTTGCCGCTCATGCTGCGGCTGCTGGTGGAACTGAAGCCGCCCCCGGAGCTATAGCCCAGGCTGCTGCTATAGCTGCCACCTCCTGACATGCAGAGGCCGCTGCCTGAGCTGTAGCCAGTGCCCCCGCTGGAGGAGACCACGGCTGTGGAGACAAGGCACAGGACACGTTGGTAGGCTCCTCTGGGTCCCCAGGAGCTCCCTCCCTGGGGGGGCTCCCTGCCCTGCCCCCAGAACAGGAATGTCCTGGACCCAGGGGCCGGGGTCTGAGAGGGTGGGCATGGACTTGCCATCCCTGTGACATGCTGCCCCTCACCCCCAGCGTCTGTAGAGGATGTTGCACTTTTCAAAGCACTTTCACAGCTGTGACCATGTTGATCTCATCAGGCCGAGAGAACACCCATTACTACCATCACCTCTACTTTCCAGAGGGAGAATGGGGGTGCAGAGACATCAGGTGGCAAGTCCAGGGTCATACTTGCTCTGTCCATTTCTTGGCTGCACAGGGTTCTTGTACTGGATGGAGCACGAGGCCTTGTGTGCTGGGCAGGAGCATAGGCTCCCATAATGGAAGAGGCTGGAGAGCCACCTGGGTGGGTGTCCCCCAACTGCAATTGTTCTGACACATCACCGAGAGGCAATGGTTTATAGTGTCCACTTAACTACATTCAGTGACAGGGACCTCACTACCGTGGGACACAGCTCCCCACAGCCTGTCAAACATTCGAAGATGCCTCGTTGACCTCCCCTCTCTGTCTTAATGACATCTCTGCCCACATCTATCCCCAACACCTTGTTAGTGATGCTATTGCTTCTGTTTCGATGCCCAATTTTCTATTATCCCAAGATATTTACTCACAGATATTCACGGGTCCGACACCTTCCCCGGTGAGTCTGTTGTGGGGGGGAAGAGGGGAGAGAAAGAGACATTTCATTTGCTGAGAAGTTGAAGAGCCCTGGGCTCTTGTGTCTCCAGCTGTCACTTTCATCTAGCTAATATGAACCTGCGAGGGGAATCTAGAAGAGAGACCAAATCAAAATACATAGAAATGGGGAGAGGGATGCGTGTTTGCTAGGTGGAGAGGGACACTTCGATTGTAGGCATCTCCAGCAAGCACAGAGCCCCAGTGGCCCATCCCCAGTGTAGCCTGGGGGCTGGGTAGGAATGGCTCTGCCAGTGGCCTTCCAGGTAGTCTTGGGCCACCTCTGCCTGACATCATCACCCCGATCCTCTGCCCCGGGTCCAGTAGCATCGATGGGAGAGGCTGAGACTACAGGGTGCCTCTGGGGAAAGGCTGCATCTTAACTCTGTTCCTGCCTTTGGAATTTCTTCTGGGGCCTGACACTGGGGCTCTTGGTGTCTGTGGCATCTGTTTGAGCCAAGGTTCTTGAGCAGCCATGGTCAGGGAAAGCCCC